CATAATCTTAATTTTCTAGCCACTGGTGGGAGCCACAGGAAAGGAAACTACTGATCTTTCAGTCCCCAAATCTATCATGAAAGGGACAGCTCAGCCCCCTCCATCCACACTGACCATAGGTTCCCTGGGGCTAAGATTAAGGGGAAGTTGTGAGTTTCAATCCCATTCTTTTATTTCAGCTATTCCAACGACTCTCTAGCTTCTGGATTCAAAGGTTGGGGTTGGTATACATGAGCTTGATCTTGGCCTCGATCTCTTCCTCCTGGGCAGACCCCTCTTTGGTTACTTTGATTACGTTGTGGGCATTCATTCCTCCAATGTCCTTCTTGTTTACATAAGGCACACTGATTAATTTCTCATGGACCTTCTCTTCCTCTTCTGGCACCTTGGACTCTTCCTCCTGTGCCTCTGCGTCCTCATCATCGACCTCTCTACCAGGCTCCACTGGACTCAGTCAATGCAACAGCCAGCAACTTGCTTCATTTGTCAGTCCTTCTTCCTCTCTTCTCCCTGCTCTCAACTTACATAGACCTTCTGAGCAATCTCTACCAATTGGAATAAATTTGATCCCAAGAACCCATCCAACTTTTGGATCTTCTCAAGACTGCTCTGTGCCATGAATGCCACATTTATCAATTTTTGGTTCTCCTCATCCTTTGGGTCCACAGGGGTAAATTGTCTATAAGCTTTTAGAAGTCTTCCAAAAAAATGCAGATGAGGATTCATTTGGTTCTTGGATTACCTCGGCTGGTTTGAACATATTCATTGCCTTAGACATCCCAGTTCACATGGCTTTTATTATTAGGGTCTGATATGCTTGTAGGCATCTCAGCCCTTCTGTATTGATCTCTTCTGGATTGATCCCTTCTGGATTTCACTTTGCATCCCACTTTGTATCCCACTTCAGGGAAATGTTTTCCCATCCAATCCTATTCTCTAATCCCTGCAGATTTATCAGCTTTACTAAGATGCCTTGTTTGTCCCAAATCCCACTCTCTATTTTCTGGATCTTCAGGGTCTACAGGGGTATTGACAGT